CCGCATTCAGATGACAAAAAAAGAATTCTTAGGTTTTGCATATTAGTATACTCTTACAATGCAGTTTTTGTATTTTTTCTCAGAAATGAGATATTTTGCCGCGGTAAAAAGTACTTATATGTTGACCCGGATAACACGCTATCATCATACCAAATTTCATCAAAATCTGTTCAGTGGTTTTCTCGTGATGCGGTAACAGACAGACAGACAAAATTTTTAAAAACTATAGATTGGGCCTCTGTATCGATAATAATGTCTATTTCAATTAGATTTTCCAAAAAATATTTAATGTATAGATTCGACTTAGTTACAATTTTATTATATATATAGGTATCCAAGTAGCCAGTTAAGGAATCCATTTTTCCGCAAATACTAAGTATATGATATATGCATAAAAGTTAATATCGGTCTTTCACAAGGAACCCGCTCAGGTTCGTCCCTAGGTGATTCTTTAAATTGACTTTATACTTTTTTATTTATAAACCGATTGAGATAAAACAAATTATATATGTATTTGTAATACATTATATAATGAAATGAAATAACTACATACTAAATTAAGTAAAGCTTACCATAATACATTAATGAAAATCACATCCAAATCGGGTAAGCCGTTTCTGAGAAAGGCACAGACAAACAGACAAAAATTCTAAAAATCATTGTTTTGGGTTCTATTGCGTTAATAAAGACCCCGATAATAGTTTTATTTCAAATATCTTCCATGTACAGACAGCGATCAGGTACACTTTTATTATATTTATAGATTATATACAGTGCCGTCACCTTTTGGACAGGAAAATGAGCTTATGTGTTACTTCACAGTCTATCTGTATTCTTATCATTCAAACCCGTCCAACGGCTAAGCGTAAAAGAGCAACAAACATACACACATAAACACAAATATTCGCAATTATAATTAACTAGCGACTCTACCTCGCTTCGCTCGAGTTCGTCACTAGTTTGATTCCCCACACAAACTTTCATCCCCATTTTTACACCTTTAAGGGATTATTTCCGCAACAAATTATATCCTATGTCCTTTACAGGGTCTCAAACTATCATCTTACCAAATTTTATCTAAACCGGTCCAGTAATTTTAGAGTTTATACGTTACAAACATACAAAAATACAAATCTTTCTTCTTTACAATAGTAGTGTAGATATACATAGATGTAAAAGTATGGATAATAGTATGATACAAAAAAATGTAACAAATTCAAATTCATCTAACGGATCCCTAATTTAGTTTATACAAAAACTATATACAATCTAAATGTAAGCAAGTAACGGGATGTAGCCTTACTTGGTATTGCTTGAAGTTATTAACTTATCGATCAAATCATGCACTTTGAAGAGTTCGATAAGTTCAGAAGTTCATATCGAAATGCAGTGTACCATACTAATTATCAAGATATCTTGAAATGATACAAAAGTGAGTTCAGACTGAAATCTACATGATATTCTAAGTTTTTCTTATATATTTAAATATATGTATAAGTAGAGTCCTTATATTAAGTAATATATGTGTATAGTATAATATATTTTTATTATAATAATAATCACATATACACAGTATATATTTATCACAGATGAGATATTTTTCCGCCTTCGATCAATAATTGTTGATCGAAGTTTTCCGCAATAAAAAGTATCTTTTATATTCACCCGGATAATCAGCTATTATTATACCATCATCAAAATCCGTCCAGTGGTTTGCTCGTGACACGTTCCCAGATATACATACAGATAGACAGACAGACATACAGACAAAAAATCTAGAAACTATAGATTCGGCATCTGTATCCACAATAATGACTATTTCAATAAGATTTTTCAAAAAATATTTCATATACAGGCTCGACTCACTTAGAATTTTATTATACGAGTATGTATATATGGACAGTTTAGTGTTAAATTTTCTTTTTATATTACATTTTTCTGCATAGAATTCTTTTCAAATCCTTTGGCATAAAAAGTCTTGGTGTCAAGACAAACCCGTTGAAGTAAGACTCAAGTGTACTAACATAATAAACCTCCGTTTGAATACAAATATGATCAACATAAAAATATATGAAACATATGAATATAGACCATACAGTTCCAATACACGAGTAAATAACCAATAGCCTTTTGTAGAAATAAAAATAAAAGTAATGCTAAATAAATAAATGCTAAAATTTTACCTAGAAATATAGAATGAAAGAGAGATTGATAAAAATATTTTTCGTATATTTACCTGTATATGTTTTTTATTATTCATTCGTTGAAGCTGTATATTATATTTTACTTTTTCTATGTTTGAAGTTCCTCTACTGTAATCAATAAACCCTCGACTGATTCTCCTCTCTGTAAAGCATTCAAATTGAACGATGAAGGTGAGCTCGAGGGGATGGACAAAAATAGTTACGTTACACATTGGGCTTAGCGAAAGTTAAGCTACATTCATATCCTATGCCCATCAATCTAATAACATCCCAGTTTTTTCTCAGTTTTTCAATGATTTTATCGAAAATACTAAATATTACAGTAACAAAACTAAATTTTAAGTTTTGGTTAACATACAAATCTTGCTACCCACATCCGCTCCTTTGGAAATAAACTTTCTAGCTCTTACTTATGTCAACACGAGATAATCTCCCGCGGTAAAAAGTAGTCTATGTCACTTTCCAGCCTTCCAACTATCTCCACAAAAAAAACCACGCTAATCCGTCACTCTATTTTGACGTGAAAGAAGGACAAACAAACAAACAAACACATTTTCATATTTATAATATTAGTATGGACTGCAATAAGCTGTGAAAATGTCTTTTTGACAAATCGTCAGTTTGATCTAGAACTTTAATTCAAAAAGAATTATTTAGTCAGGATAAATCACTATAATGAAATACTAACTTAAAGATTGACATATGATACTACGAGAGTCTCGCGAATGTTTGGATATATATATATATATATATATATATATATATTTCTCCCTTCGCCACAGTACGAGTATAATATACATAGGATATAATATTTAGTTAGAGTGGATAATACTTAATAAGGATTATCCACTCTAACTAAATATTATCTTTTATTAATATTATGTAAGCTTGCTAATTATAAATGTATAACTGAACTATACAGGTTCTATTTTGTAACAAGTTTATTTCATCATATCACATGACCAAATTTGATGTATTTAAAACAAAATTTCTAAATTTCAATAACTTGTTTTGTTTGTAAATGTTCTTTAGTAAACATGTTCTAAGCGTAATAACATCAATAAATAAGGCAATTTTATAAAATATTACATTACCAAAGCTTAAAGAAATAATAATCACGCAAATAGTAAATTTAGAAAATGCGTGAAGGTAGGTAGGTAAGGTGTCTCTTTTATTCCAAATTATTGTATTAATCTAAAGTACCGATGTATGTAGTGGACCCCTCATTCTTTTTCCAGGCGAAATATATTTTTTTACCATAACACGTATTAACAAACACGAACTAGGGTCGTTGTCACCAAAAATTGTCTTCAGGCAATTTTTTACTAAAAGCCTCGAAAAACTAAAAGAGGGGTCGGCGCAGTACATCTTCTGTACTGCTGAAAGGATTTAGCAAAAGTTTTACTACCGGTCGCCTGCCTGACGTCAACCCTCCTTGGAAATGCTATTGTCTCTCTTTGTCTGAATGGTATCGCGGAAGTCTTGTGATTATTATGCACTTTCATTATTTATACTATTATCGTATTTTTTTTTAATTTGAAAAGATCAATATATTTAAAATATTTCCTGCGCTGGCTAGTCTCAGTGAGAGTTTCTGCTGTAACTGAAATCAATGATGGTGACATAATTGTAATATAAGACAAAAAATCATACATAGTCATGATCCTAAAAAATGTTCAAAAAGCTTCTATCGGCAAATTAAAAAAAAAGTTCTTGAACGTTTTTGTGCAAAAGGAAATGATTTTATAGAAGATAGTACGCCTTGGGAATGAAGTGATGAATATTATAAATTATAATTTAACAAAAAAGATAACGAAATAAAATTAGTCCCGCTGAGTTTCTTTCGCAAGTTCTTCTCAGGTCTGAGGCTTCTTCTTTCCGAACTGGTAGTAGACACATGATGGTCAGTGAACAAATTGTAATAATTTACCTAATGCTGAATAAAATATTTTGAGTTTGAAAACTTATAATTTGAGTTTGTTGTAAAGTAACATATGTGTATTATGCAACAGTTGGTAGTACACTAACCTGTCCTTGCCAAGTTTATTAACCCCTTAAAAAGTTTAAAGACCTTTTATTAGATAAAGTTCATAGCTAAGGAAGACAAAGCTATTTGGATAGGATTTGGGATATAGCATCACTGCTTTATATTTTTTTGTTCATATCTTTCTCTTTATGTATTGTAAAGTGTTATAATAACAAAAATAATATTATAGTGTACGAGTATAAAATCCCTTACCATAAATATGAAATTGTTTTTTTGTTTGTCCTCCTTTTAAACAGCCCAGTCTCTTTACTTTACGCGAATGCTTGACGTTTTAAATGAAACTATTTTGCTGACCTATTTCCGGTTTTATTGATTATTCCTGACGGTCACGGGAGATATCATCTATCTTCTATACATATCATAAAATTCTAACCTAGTCGAATATTAAATATTTTTTGCAAAATTTTATCGAAATAGTATTATCGATACAGAGACTGAATATATAGTTTTTACAATTTTTGTCTGTCTGTCTGTCTATCTGTCTGTCTGTCTGTCTGGGAACGTATCACGAGAAAACCACACAGATTTTGATGAAATTTGGTATGACGATAGTTGGTTATCTGGGTCAACATATAGGATACTTTTTACTGCGGAAAAATATATCATCTCTGAGAAATCTATACTAAACGTTAAAACGTAACTAGTAACAACCCGAGCTGAGCGAGGGTGAGTCGCTGGTGAGATATATGTTTAGATTTTTACTATGTACATATGCAATTATCTTTAGTGACGTCGTTTTGTCTTTGCAGATGGCGAGGGAGTGTCTACAAGTTGGTGTGGCGCGAGCTCCTTGCCTACCTCACTCTTTACTACACAATAAATTTATTATATAGATTTGCGCTAACAGAGCACCAACAAAGGTAAATAATCATTAGAATATTTATTATAGTGATCTATACTTATATCAACGTGTAACGAACAAAATTCTAGTCCGATATTGTACTTATTTTAGTTTGTGCTGTAAATATTATATGAGCATATATAAATAATATATCAATACAAATAGCATTTATATAAAAAATTAGAGTATTAATCACCAACATATTATATACTAAAACCTTCTCCAAAACACGCTAATCTTATGGTATGAGTATTATTCCAATCGGTTCAGTAGTTATCGCAGTATAACCGCACAAAAAAATCAGCTCTCCATTTATTTCAATAGAATCGGTTTCGATGAAATTTAGTACAGGACAGATATACTAGGAAGCATCCGAGTGTAACGAGGATAGGTGGCTAGTTAAAATCCATTATCACAATATGAAGTTACAATGTTGTTCTTTGCATTATTAAAAAAAAATGTTTCCAGTGATTTCAAAATGGCTCCCCCATATTCGTACACGCTAATCATCTAATCTAATATATAAATATCTCATGTCAGTGTTTGTGGTCGCACTTGCGATTTTTTGACGATTGATTTTCGGTTTTGTGACAAGTCCGATTTGGATAACGTAGGTTGAGAAGCCCTAATTAAATTAAATTTCGTTTTACGATCGTCTTTAAGCCCATATTTCGAGCACCTAAATTTAGGGGGCCTTTTAATATTTAGGTGACCCCTAACTGTCGGTGAAACAGAAAGTGTCCCCTGACAGCCCCCTAACTATGCTTAGGGGATCCCTTAAACTTAGGTGACGTTGGTGAAATCGGGCATTAATTTTCTCGTTACGTCTTTTACTTTAAACCCCCTCCCCCTCTCCCTTCCCCCTCCCCATATCATAATTTATGGTCTTTGTGTTGTGATTTGAAGACAGACTCGAAAAAAAAAAATTATAATCAATAGCCGGATTAATAAAAATAATATTAGTCATACAGTTAATAATAATAGACAGTTACGGTATTAATATGGTCAGCCGAATAAATATAACAATGCCGTATATATGGCGTTCTTAGAAAGAATTTATGTTCAATTATCCTGATTATTTAATAAGCTGCAGTAGATTAATGAATATTTTTGTAGCAAGCTATATATGTACTGAGTATTCATAGAAGGTGCTGTATATTTTATAAGCTGTTTACGACGATCAAAAACTGTTTTGCTGTATTTAGTACATATGTGTTTATCGAATAAAATAGTTCGTCAGCTCGATGATCAACTCCCGTCTATTAATTTTTTTTTTATATTATTTATTTCTTTGATGTGGCATCTTAATCAGTTTTCTTTATCTGTGGTTTTTTCTTATACTTTCATAGATTTATGCGAACATTCAATGTTTTAAATGAGACAGGTCTCTCCCGTGATAAAGCACGTTACGTGTCACGAGTCACGTGGAAAGGATTTGAAATGCTGGAAATCTATAGGAACACAATGTAATAAAATTCTGAGTTGAATCTGTACATTAAATATTTTTTGGAATATCTTATTGAAATAGTTATTATTATCGATAAATAGGCCGAATCTACAGTTTTTAGATTTTTTGTCTATTTACTGTCTAACAACGTATGACAAGAAGATCACTGGACAAGTTTTGATGGGTATGATGATGGCTGATTATCCGGGTCAAAATATAGGATACTTTTTTTTTTAATTGTTGCTTTTGAATAATAATAAAATATAAAAAAAATATTAGAAAATTGTGACGTGCAGTTATGTATTAGTTGCAGGATGAATTATTTACAAACAATCCTTGTAAATATAAAATTGACCGCTGTCTGCCCGCACGTCCGCGAATTGCCTGAACGAAGGAATGCCTGAAGCCAGCCTGCATAGAAAAACGTAAATTGATTATTATTTAGATATGCTTGTATGTATTTTGCAAGTATATTTAATAATTCGTCAATATAAATACAACCCAAAAAAAATATTCTAAGTCAGAATTACTTGAAACTTGGTATTAATGCTGTCCTATACAATTAAATATGTGTTTTAACATTTTTCGAAGTTCATCGGGGTAAAGGGGGTAAAATAGGGGATAACAGTTTCTATGAAACATACCTCTTTAGAGTTATTTTTTACAGTTTTACCGCGAGCGAAGCCGCTAGTAATTAACAAATCTCTTTAATAGTATAAAATTACATAAAATATAAAAGGGGAATGAAGACAGATTAAAATATGTACAAACAAACATACATATATTTTCTTATTTTTTATAGACCGATATATTCCGATCGAAAACTTTCCGAAAGATCTTATTAGTTTTTTCAAACCAAATTATACTCAGCCACAAAAACAATATGCGCAAAATATGTAACACTTTATCTTCATCTACTAAAAAGACTACACGAGGAACAAATAAAAAAGATTATTGCGTGACCAATCGCGTCGATATCTTTTGGTGAATGTAGCGTGGCTATTTCTGTTGGACGTCACACAGTACGTGTCACCTACATTGTAATTACTTACTTTGACCGACATCAAAAAGAAGTGGTACACAATTTTGGTAATGTTTATTTTCCACGATACCGTCGCCAGTTGAAGAGCTTCGAACCGCTTTCAACTAAAGAGTTTTATCTCTAAGTTAAATTAGTTAAATTTGAAATTGACATCATTTTGTTTTTCAAATTACATAATTATTGTACTTCTCCAAACAAAGATAACTATTATATCCATATATTTGTATTTGATAAAGACTAAGTTTTGGAACAAGTTCCATATCGCACGTTACTAGGCCCATTTGATGAATGAGAGCTAGACGGGAACAAGTGTAACTATTTCACCGTCACGACACTTTATTAGAGCACCCCATGTGACGTCATCGTAAGTACCAGGCGATCATAAGTGATAATCAGTGTATGTAGTAAATAGTTCGTATGCACTCTTATGACGGGGCCCTATAAAATGGATACTCTTTGACGTTTATGGTTCTCTAGTACTCGTGACAAAAGTACCAGGCGATCATAAATGTTACTGAATATATATTGGAAGATTTTCGTGTGCACTCTGTGTAGGTCTTTCTTCGATGAGTTTCAACATGTACAATGTACGTTGCTTGATGTTTATGATATCCTAGTACTCGTGACAATTTTCATGACCTAATATATGAGCCATGTGCAAACAGCGAAAGGAAGTTGGTTCCTAACGGGTGTCCCACGACACCGATCGAGTTTTTTTTATATAGTACACTGCAACTCACCCTCGCTTCGCTCGGGTTCGTCCCTAGCTTGCTTCCCATAACAAACATTCATCCCCATTTTCACCACTTTAAGGGATGATTTCCGGGGTAAAAAGTATCCTATGTCCTTCCCAGTGTCTCAAACTATCTTCTTACCAAATTTCATCAAAATCGGTTCAGTATATCCAGAGATTACCCCCTACAACGTCACAAACTCACAATCTCACAAAATTTACATCTTTATAATATTAGTATAGATATAGTAAAAAATCTTTACTATCACGTAAGTATTGATGTACTATGAAACCTTATAAAAATAACGAATATGTATGTTATAAACAAATCGAAAAGAGTATTATATTATAACAAACTGACGAGAAATACAGGTTATTTTTATTAAAGATACTAGAGATTCATGTTCGCATCCATCGGGTTCGTCCCTGCTTACGTTTTAACGTTTAGTATAGATTTCTGAGAGATGAGATATTTTCCCGCAATGAAAAGTTTTGTATATGTAGACACGGATAACCAGCTATCACCATACCAAAATTCATCAAAATCTCGCATAGTCACCGATAAACACACAAAAATTCTAAAAACTATAGATTCGGCCTCTGTATCGATAATAACGACTATTTAAATAAGATTTTTCGAAAAAAAATATTATACAGATTCGACTCAGAATTTTATTATATGTATCTATAGATTAAAACTCTTTTGAACGGTGACATGAAAGTAATGAAACTACAAAGTAAAATATTATTTCGAGCTCTGTTATTGAAAGGGTCTTTCATCAACCGGATATTAGTGCATACAATAGGGATCGAACGTCACAGGCATTTACAGACAGTCTATTAGGGCTAGCTGGAAAATTCATTAACCTAAAACTAGATCAAAGCGACATCCGGGGCTTAGACGGGGTTGTATCAATCCTGTAAATATCCTGTACAAGGTGTCGTTATGGGATCAAATTAAACAACTATTAATACATGTATCATGTAATTATGTATCTTGTAAATTTCCTATACATTTACAGGATATATATATATTAATAGCTGTTTAATTTGATCCCATAACAACACCTTCGACGATATAGGTACTGTAGTGTATTCAAAGAAACAATCAGTTCGATTACTGACCTTTTTATATATATATTTTATAGATTTAATGTTGATTTAGTCTTACAGAAATAAGTATTGTATTGAAAAAATCATATACTCATCATTCTGTTACCTCATCGATATAACGATCACACTATTGAGAGTGTCAGTTACTTACAGCTATCACATTCTCATTCAATTATCACCCACGCACGACACTGAGTCGGTAAGACCAATACTCTCTTGTCTAACTAAGGATATAAATTTTAATAAACTATTTTTAAAATAGATGAACTTTTGACATGTTTGACTCAGTTTGTAGTGACTCTATTTGCAGTGTCAGCTATCGCGGGTTCGATTCCCGTTGGGGGCATTCATTTCTCTTAGCTTACAATTGAACTAGACGGTGCTATGAGTTAATGTCGCAACATATTTATATTTATTTATGCTATGAACTGTCTATCTCTCTGTATGTCCGACTTAATCATGAAAATGTGTAGACATTTTTGAGAAGTTGTCTTCTCCAGCTAAATTTCTAAGAAATTAATTGTTAACCGTAACGCCTATGTGCCCGTGGTTGTTAAGGCAAGGGTGGCTGCAAAATATTTTGAGAAATTTCACATTATACGTATTTAATGAGATTTTCTTTAGATGATATTTTCTATACATATATCTTGACATTAAATATTTTTTGGAACATGTCATTGAAAT